GCCCTGAGTATCAGCCATTTCAAGTTTTGGCAGCTTTTTTCGGCTAAATTTTGTCCCAAGTTTCGGCCACTGCCCCATGTTTCGGCCGGTGTACCAGACCTGCCTGCCTCCCTGCACAGGCGTCATAAGCCAGTCTAGGTTTGTTTATCCTTGAGTGAACATTATCCTGCACGCTCATCTGAACATTTCACAATAAATTCATTGTGTTTAGTGCTTGTTTAGTGATTGTGACTGTGAAATAAGCCACCATGGGCAAAAAGAAACTTCAAAGTGGCAGCCCTTTGGTAAAGAAAGTGAGAAACACCATAGAAGTAAAGAAAGAGATAGTAACAAAAATACGAGTGGCGTATGTGTGGGTGAGATTGCCAGGATGTATGGCAAAAACAAATCAACAATTACTTCTATCCTAGCAAAGAGAAAAGAACTCAAGGAAGCTGATATTGCAAAAAGTGTTGACATGTTAACCAAAAACAGAACACAAACAGTTGAAGAGGTTGAGAAGTTGTTGGTGGTGTGGATCAACAATAAACAGATACCAGGTGATAGTGTTTCAGAGTCGATCATTTGTGAAAAGGCAAGGCAGTTGCATGTCGATCTTGTAAAGAAAATGGCAGGAACCAGTGCTGATGTTAGTGAATTTAAGGCCAGCAGAGGCTGGTTTGACAGATTTAAGAAGTGTAGTGGCATACACAGTGTTGTAAGGCATGGTGAGGCTGCCAGTTCTGACAAATTGGCGGCTGAAAAATATGTGCGTGAATTCAAGGGGTATGTAGAGGCTGAAGAATTCAAACCCCAACAACCGTTCAATTGTGACAAAACAGGCCTCTTTTGGAAGAAAATGCCAAAGAGGACCTACATTACTCAGGAGGAAAAGGCACTGCCAGGACACCAGCCTATGAAAGACAGGCTAATTCTTTTGTTCTGTGGTAAAGCTAGTGGGGATTTTAAAGTGAAGCCTTTACTGGTGTATCACTCAGAAAATCCTAGAGTGTTCAAGAAAAACAACGTCATCAAAAGTAAATTGTGTATGTTGTGGAAAGCTAATCATAATGCTTGGGTCACGAGGCAAATTTTCAAATAGTGGGTCCATGAAGTGTTTGGCTCCAGTGTGAAAGAATACCTCCTGGAAAATAATTTGCCATTCAAGTACCTCCTGGTAATGGATAATGCTACTGCTCATCCTCCAAACTCGGTAGACCTCTTCTCTAGGTACTTCAGTTTTATAACAGTGAAGTTCTTGCCTCCTAATACCACTCCTCTCCTCCAGCCCATGGACCAGCAGGTCATTTCTAACTTCAAAAAATTCAACACAAACGCAGTGTTTGAAAGGTGCTTTGAAGTGACCTCGAACACTGAATTGACCCTAAGAGAGTTCTGGAGGAATCACTTCAATATCTACAACTGCATAAGCCTTGTAGGTAAGGTTTGGGAGGGAGTGACTTCTAGGACTCTGAACTCTGCTTGGAGACAACTGTGGCCACAATGTGTTGTCCAGAGGGATTTTGAAGGGTTTGAGGCTGACCCTGACCCTGCCGACCCTCTGCCTGTTGTGGAAGGTATTGTGGCATTGGGCAAGTCCATGGAGGTGAGTGGCAAGGATGTGGAAGAGTTGGTGGAGGACCACAGGGAAGAGCTAACCACTGACAAACTGCAAGAGCTTCAACTGCAACAGCATCAGATCACAGCTGAGGAACTTGCTTCAGAGGAGGAGGAAGAGGGAGTGAAGGAGGTGCCTTCTTCAGTGATTAAGGACATGTGTGCAAAGTGGAATGAATTGCAAAGTTTTGTTGAAAAGTATCACCCTGACCAAGCTGAAACAAGCCATATCTGCAACATGTTGTGACAAAACCTTGTCCTACTTCAGGGAAATCTTAGAGACGCCAGAAACAGAGCACTCTTGATAGTTATTTAGTGCGATAGGTGTCCAGTGACTCTCAAGCTGGTCCTAGTGGCATTAAAAGACAAAGAAGGGAAGTAACCTCAGATAAGAACTTGTTACCTAAAGTCTTTATGGAAGAGGATTCCCCTTCCAAACAATAAGTCCTCCCTCTCTTCTCCTCCTTATCTTCCAGATGCCAGCAAGACTCTTCAATAAAGGTACATAAATGTGATTTTAAATGTTTATTTAAGTGTTTATGTATTGTATTACTCATTTAAGTATTTATATTTGTTGTTTGTATGTTAAACTATATTCTTTAAAAAATGTATTTTTTTGTGAATATTTTTGTGGGTCTGGAACGGATTAATTGTATTTACATTATTACGTATAGGAAATATTACTTTGACTTTTGGGCGTTTTGAGTTTAGGCCTAGCTCCTGGAATGGATTACGGCCGAAACTTGGGGTTCCACTGTATGTGAAGTGCATGACAATCACCAATATTGCCATCAGTGGCTCACTGATCTAAAATTTCATGCCTTTATATTTTGTTAAGTACTAATGGGAATTTTTTGTTTTATTACCACCAGAAAATACACTCTTTTAATCAATGAGATTTTTTTCTTAAATTTGGACACTGAGAGCAATTTAATTTTGGGGCTCTGCACAGTGAAAGGGTTAATGTAGACATAATCAAGGTTCTAATATTGTGAAAAGAAAATAATCATCATACTTATAAACTATATAAATAATGTAGGTCTCAACCAAGTTGAATGTGGAACAAAATAAGGATTTCTGGTTAGCAGTAATACAAAGCCAAGACAACAGTGCATAAGTGTTCACAATTAATCTAATACAATTCTTAGCTTCTGGTTAACAGTAATCTTAAACCAAGACAACAGTGCATAAGTGTTCACAATAAAGTGAGCAAAATCCTTGGCTTCATATCAAGAAGCATAAATAATCAGAGTCCTCAGGTTGTTCTTCAACTTTATACAGTATATCCTTGGTTAGGCCTCATTTAGATTATGCTGCGCAGTTTTGGTCACCATATTACAAATTGGATATAAATGCTCTGGAAAACATACAAAGGAGGATGACAAAGTTGATCCCATGTATCAGAAATCTTCCCTATAAGGGTAGACTGAGAGCCCTGAATCTGCACTCTCTAGAAAGACATAGAATTAGGGGGGATATGCTTGAGGTGTATAAATAGAAAACAGGAATAAATAAAGCGAATGTAAACAGCGTGCTAAAAATATCTAGCCAAGACAGGACTCACAACAATGGTTTTAAGTTGGAAAAATTCAGATTCAGGAAGGATATAGGAAAGCACTGGTCTGATAATAGAGTTGTGGATGAGTGGAACAAACTCCCGAGTACCATCATAAAAGCTAAAACGTTTAGCTAAGTAAATACATGAGTGGGTATGGGTGGATGTGAATTGGACCTGACTAGCTTGTGCTAATAGGTCTGATGCCATGCTTCTTCCTTAAGTGGATATGACCTGACCTGATTAGGTTGGGTCATTGGCTTAAGGCAGTGGGAAACTTGGACCTGCCTTGCATGATCCAGTAGGCCTGCTGCAGTGTTCCTTCTTTATGTTCTATTTTTTTATATCAAGAAGTATAAATATTAGAAGTCTTAAGACTATATTTTAGCTTTATATATTCTTAGCTAGACCTCTTTTAGATTATGCTGCACAGTTTTGATCTCCATATACAGAATGGACATAAATGCATTGAAAAAACATGCAGACGAACATGACAAAGTTAATCCCATGCATCACAAATGTTTCCTCCGGGAACAGACTGAGGGCAATAAATCTACACTCTCCGGAAGAGTAGAATTAGGGGGGATATGAGTTAAGTGTACAAATGGAAGACAGGAATAAATAAAGGAAATAGATAAAGTATGCTGAAAATATATAACCTAGACAGGGCTGGCAGCAATGATTTCAAGTCAGAAAAATTTAGTTTTAGAAAGGATACAGGAAACCATTGGTTTGGTAACATAGTTGTGGATGAATGACATAGACTCCCAAGCAGTGTTACTGAAGTGGTTTTAAAGGTAGGTTGGATGGGTGTAAGTTTATTTAGCTACAGGTACACATAAGAACAATTATCATACCTAGCAACATGCGTGTAAATTACTTCGGATAACCCAAAATAAAAAGTCAGACAAAATGACCTATTTCCACTGGGATCCTTCAGGGTGCATGAGTAGGAGTAAGTTGAACCTACCTAGCATGGACCAGTAGACCTGCTACAGTGCTCCTTCTCCCTATAGTTAGTCATACCACTTCAGACTTCCATGGCCACTGGGAAATACTGATATTTAACACATTATTATTATTATTGCACTGTGGATAATGTGCCAGGATAACCACTGTAGTACAAGAATGGTATATAACACTGACAAGATGAAAACTGAGACACACATGCTACATCTGAGCATCTTTACTGTAGACGTTTTGCCATCCAGTGGCTTTATCAATACAGATTCTAGGACAAAATTTGAAGACAATAGAACTATATACAAAAGATGAGGCAATCAGTCCCTCAGCCTTGGAGTTGGTGTGAAGAGCACCGTAGTCGTGAAGATTGTGAAGCAGAGGCAACGAGACTGGCGCTTATATACTAACACCAGGTGAAAAAGGACGGGCAGCAGACCAGGGCATAGTTACTGGTAGGTGGGATTCCCCAGTGGAAGTAGGTCCTTCCCAAAGGGATGGGTTAGTTGTAGTAGCCGTGAAGGTCTTGTGATGTCCTCTGAACCAAGATTACATGATGTTGCAGTGTCTGACAAGTTGTGCAAGAATGGTATACAATACCAATAACCACTGCTCAACCCGGCCAGAAGTCCAATCATTAATATTCACAATGGAACGCTAAACCCGCAAGGAGCATACAGCACCTTGGGAGGGGGAGAATGAAAGGCATTCGGGTTCGATCCAAGGAAGGGGAGCACAGGGTAAATTTCATAATTTATCAGATCACGCAGACATTACCCTACAACATTATTATTATAATAAAAAAGAAGATCTAAACCACATGGGCTATACAGTGCTGTACCCTACTAAAGCCAGGGTAATATATCTCGTAGCCACGCACATTACTTGCCTTATTTTCGTAGAAAATATGTTTGTGATGGGTAAAGCATCTACATCTTCAATGCAGCGTGGTAACGTTGATTGTACTTTCGTAAAAATACGTTGAAAATTGAGGCCGCTATCAGCCATTGTTTACAAGCAACGGCGTTGTTGTTGTTGGGTTGCAGGGCTGTGGTGAGCCTGAGACCGTATGAACCCGACCACGCTAGTGCTCGGTCTGACATAACCCGACCATGCTAGTGCTCGGTCTGACATAACCCGACCACGCTAGTGATGGATGTGACACACAGCCCAGCCATGCTAGTGCTGGGTGTGACACACAACAAATCCATGCTAGTGTTGAGTGTGACATACAAACTGGACCATGCTAGTGCTGGGTGTGACATACAGCCCGACCATGCTAGTGCTGGGTGTGACACAGCCTGACCATGTTAGTGCTGGATGTGACACACAACCCGATCATGCTAGTGCTGGGTGTGACACACAGTCTGACCATGTTAGTGCTGGATGTGACACGCAACCCAACTATGCTAGTGCTCGGTCCAACACAGCCCAACCATGTTAGTGCTGGATGTGACACAACCCAACCATGCTAGTGCTCAGTCTGACACAGCCTGACCATGCTAGTACTGGATGTGACACATTCAATTCAATTCAGTTCAAGTTTATTCTCTATAAGGGTTACAATGTGGGGTTTACAGGTTTTGGGTATTTTGTGGTTTACATGTTATAAAATACTAATTACAGAGGGGGCCACTAGGACGCCTAGCATGGCTAGGCATTTCGAGCAGACTTAGATTAACTCTTAACATTAAATCCTTACAGATTATGGTATTAAGGCTAAATGACTACATCATAATTTGTGAGTTTAGCAATGTGAATGCTTTTGTTTTGGCACAATACAAAGTGTCTATACTGGAGTATCACAGGCAAGCTTATGACTAGTTAGGATTTATTATTTTAAGATTAAGATTAGTATTTCTGGGTTTGTAGTCAGTGGGTGAGTGAGTGTAACTTTGAGCCACCAGGTGGTTATCATGTAGTTAGTTGTCGGGGTTCATCAGGGAGATAAGATGTTTTCTAACTGTAGTTTTGAAAGTGATGAATGTGTCTGCAGTTCTAGAGTTTTCAGGTAGGGTGTTCCAGATTTTAGGTCCTTTGAATTACATTGAATTTTTGTAAAGGTTTAGTCGAACACGGGGAATGTCAGAGATGTTTGTGACTGGTGTTATGCCTGTGGATCCTGTCACAACTATCAAGAAAGCGTTTTAGGTCAAGGTTAATATTGGAATTTAAGGTCCTGTAGATATAGATTGCACAGTAGTAAGTGTGGATGTTCTGAACAGGGAGTAAGTTTAGATCTATGAAGAGTGGGGGGGGGGTGTTGCCAGGGATGGGATTTAGTGATTATTCTTACTTCGGCTTTTGTTGGGCTATTATTGGCTTTAGGTGTGTTGCTGCAGTTGAACCCCAAGCACAGATAGCATAGGTGAGGTATGGATATATAAGTGAATGGTATAGTGTGAGAAGGGCAGTTTGCGGTACTTAGTATCGTATCTTGGAGAGGATCCCAACCGTTTTCGATACTTTTTTATGTGTTGGATATGGGTGCTGAAATTTAGGTTGTTGTCGAGGTATAGGCCAAGGAATTTGCCCTCATTATGTCTGACAATTAGTGTTGTCGATCTTAATGTTAAGTTGCGCAACACCTGCTCTGCTACCAAACATAATATAGTAGGTTTTGCCAGTGTTAAGTGTAAGTTTATTGGTTGCCATCCAAGTCGATATTTTGAGCAGCTCCTCGTTAATAATTGTGTTGAGGGTGGCAAGATTAGGGTGGGAGATGACATAAGTCGTGTCGTCAGCAAAGAGAATGGGTTTCAGGTGTTGGGATGTGTTTGGAAGATCATTGATGTAAATGAGGAAGAGCAGGGGTCCAAGGACACTTCCCTGCGGAACTCCAGTATCAAGTGGCCGTATTGATGAGGCCGTCTTTAATGGTGACATACTGATACCTATTAGAAAGGTAGGATTTAAAATATGCAAGCGCATGACCTCTTATACCATATTGGTCAAGTTTGTGGAGTAGGATGCCGTGGTCTACTGTGTCAAACGCTTTTCTTAGGTCAATAAAAATTCCTAGCGGATCATGCAAGTGCTGGGTCAGACACACAACCCATCTATGCTAGTGCTGGGTGTGACACACAGCCTGACCATGCTAGTGCTGGGTGTGGGAATTATTAAGGTTACCTGTATGAGACTCATCATCGCATTCATACAAATAATCTCATTGGGAGGCGAAAACTGTACACTGTTTACAGTAGTTACCCCGTGTAGACATGTGAAAAAACTCATGCCCTCCTGGTCGCACCAAGTGGGTCCTTCAACTTCACACTCTAAGCACATCTATCCTAGACCAGTAGTAGGTTGGTAGACAGCAACCACCCAGGGAAGTACTACCGTCCTGCCAGATGACTGTGAAACAAAAACCTGTAACTGTTTTGCATGATGGTAGGATTGCTGGTTTCTTTTTCTGTCTCATAAACACGCTAAGATAACAGGGATATCTTGCTACTCCTACTTACACTTTGGTCACACTTCATAGACACGCACATGCATATATATATATACATACATCTAGGTTTTTCTCCTTTTTCTAAATAGCTCTTGTTCTTTTTTATTTCTTCTATTGTCCATGGGGAAGTGGAAAAGAATCTTTCCTCCGTAAGCCATGCGTGTCGTATGAGGCGACTAAAATGCCGGGAGCAATGGGCTAGTAACCCCTTCTCCTGTATACAATTACTAAAAAAGAGAAGAAGAAAAACTTTATAAAACTGGGTTGCTTAAATGTGCGTGGATGTAGTGCGGATGACAAGAACAGATGATTGCTGATGTTATGAATGAAAAGAAGTTGGATGTCCTGGCCCTAAGCGAAACAAAGCTGAAGGGGGTAGGAGAGTTTCAGTGGGGGGAAATAAATGGGATTAAATCTGGAGTATCTGAGAGAGTTAGAGCAAAGGAAGGGGTAGCAGTAATGTTAAATGATCAGTTATGGAAGGAGAAAAGAGAATATGAATGTGTAAATTCAAGAATTATGTGGATTAAAGTAAAGGTTGGATGCGAGAAGTGGGTCATAACAAGCGTGTATGCACCTGGAGAAGAGAGGAATGCAGAGGAGAGAGAGAGATTTTGGAGATGTTAAGTGAATGTATAGGAGCCTTTGAACCAAGTGAGAGAGTAATTGTGGTAGGGGACTTGAATGCTAAAGTAGGAGAAACTTTTAGAGAGGGTGTGGTAGGTAAGTTTGGGGTGCCAGGTGTAAATGATAATGGGAGCCCTTTGATTGAACTTTGTATAGAAAGGGGTTTAGTTATAGGTAATACATATTTTAAGAAAAAGAGGATAAATAAGTATACACGATATGATGTAGGGCGAAATGACAGTAGTTTGTTGGATTATGTATTGGTAGATAAAAGACTGTTGAGTAGACTTCAGGATGTACATGTTTATAGAGGGGCCACAGATATATCAGATCACTTTCTAGTTGTAGCTACACTGAGAGTAAAAGGTAGATGGGATACAAGGAGAATAGAAGCATCAGGGAAGAGAGAGGTAAAGGTTTATAAACTAAAAGAGGAGGCAGTTAGGGTAAGATATAAACAGCTATTGGAGGATAGATGGGCTAATGAGAGCATAGGCAATGGGGTCGAAGAGGTATGGGGTAGGTTTAAAAATGTAGTGTTAGAGTGTTCAGCAGAAGTTTGTGGTTACAGGAAAGTGGGTGCAGGAGGGAAGAGGAGCGATTGGTGGAATGATGATGTAAAGAGAGTAGTAAGGGAGAAAAAGTTAGCATATGAGAAGTTTTTACAAAGTAGAAGTGATGCAAGGAGGGAAGAGTATATGGAGAAAAAGAGAGAAGTTAAGAGAGTGGTGAAGCAATGTAAAAAGAGAGCAAATGAGAGAGTGGGTGAGATGTTATCAACAAATTTTGTTGAAAATAAGAAAAAGTTTTGGAGTGAGATTAACAAGTTAAGAAAGCCTAGAGAACAAATGGATTTGTCTGTTTAAAAATAGGAGAGGAGAGTTATTAAATGGAGAGTTAGAGGTATTGGGAAGATGGAAGGAATATTTTGAGGAATTGTTAAATGTTGATGAAGATAGGGAAGCTGTGATTTCGTGTATAGGGCAAGGAGGAATAACATCTTGTAGGAGTGAGGAAGAGCCAGTTGTGAGTGTGGGGGAAGTTCGTGAGGCAGTAGGTAAAATGAAAGGGGGTAAGGCAGCCGGGATTGATGGGATAAAGATAGAAATGTTAAAAGCAGGTGGGGATGTAGTTTTGGAGTGGTTGGTGCAATTATTTAATAAATGTATGGAAGAGGGTAAGGTACCTAGGGATTGGCAGAGAGCATGCATAGTTCCTTTGTATAAAGGCAAAGGGGATAAAAGAGAGTGCAAAAATTATAGGGGGATAAGTCTGTTGAGTGTACCTGGTAAAGTGTATGGTAGAGTTATAATTGAAAGAATTAAGAGTAAGACGGAGAATAGGATAGCAGATGAACAAGGAGGCTTTAGGAAAGGCAGGGGGTGTGTGGACCAGGTGTTTACAGTGAAACATATAAGTGAACAGTATTTAGATAAGGCTAAAGAGGTCTTTGTGGCATTTATGGATTTGGAAAAGGCGTATGACAGGGTGGATAGGGGGGCAATGTGGCAGATGTTGCAAGTGTATGGTGTAGGAGGTAGGTTACTGAAAGCAGTGAAGAGTTTTTACGAGGATAGTGAGGCTCAAGTTAGAGTATGTAGGAAAGAGGGAAATTTTTTCCCAGTAAAAGTAGGCCTTAGACAAGGATGTGTGATGTCACCGTGGTTGTTTAATATATTTATAGATGGGGTTGTAAGAGAAGTAAATGCGAGGGTCTTGGCAAGAGGCGTGGAGTTAAAAGATAAAGAATCACACACAAAGTGGGAGTTGTCACAGCTGCTCTTTGCTGATGACACTGTGCTCTTGGGAGATTCGAAGAGAAGTTGCAGAGATTGGTGGATGAATTTGGTAGGGTGTGCAAAAGAAGAAAATTAAAGGTGAATACAGGAAAGAGTAAGGTTATGAGGATAAACAAAAAGATTAGGTGATGAAAGATTGAATATCAGATTGGAGGGAGAGAGTATGGAGGAGGTGAACGTATTCAGATATTTGGGAGTGGACGTGTCAGCGGATGGGTCTATGAAAGATGAGGTGAATCATAGAATTGATGAGGGAAAAAGAGTGAGTGGTGCACTTAGGAGTCTGTGGAGACAAAGAACTTTGTCCTTGGAGGCAAAGGGGAATGTATGAGAGTATAGTTTTACCAACGCTCTTATATGGGTGTGAAGCGTGGTGATGAATGTTGCAGCGAGGAGAAGGCTGGAGGCAGTGGAGATGTCATGTCTGAGGGCAATGTGTGGTGTGAATATAATGCAGAGAATTCGTAGTTTGGAAGTTAGGAGGAGGTGCGGGATTACCAAAACTGTTGTCCAGAGGGCTGAGGAAGGGTTGTTGAGGTGGTTCGGACATGTAGAGAGAATGGAGCGAAACAGAATGACTTCAAGAGTGTATCAGTCTGTAGTGGAAGGAAGGCGGGGTAGGGGTCGGCCTAGGAAGGGTTGGAGGGAGGGGGTAAAGGAGGTTTTGTGTGCGAGGGGCTTGGACTTCCAGCAGGCATGCGTGAGCGTGTTTGATAGGAGTGAATGGAGACAAATGGTTTTTAATACTTGACGTGCTGTTGGAGTGTGAGCAAAGTAACATTTATGAAGGGATTCAGGGAAACCGGCAGGCCGGACTTGAGTCCTGGAGATGGGAAGTACAGTGCCTGCACTCTGAAGGAGGGGTGTTAATGTTGCAGTTTAAAAACTGTAGTGTAAAGCACCCTTCTGGCAAGACAGTGATGGAGTGAATGATGGTGAAAGTTTTTCTTTTTCGGGCCACCCTGCCTTGGTGGGAATCGGCCGGTGTGATAATAAAAAAAAAAAAAAAAAAAACACCAATAAGTATGGTGCTACCATTAGTTGTGGACTGTATGGATAAATTGGACTGATTAGAAGAGGGGGAAAGGGATTACATGTGTTAACATAATGAGACCACCACTTACCCAATTTCATCGGTGGTCACTGGAAATTGTTGTAGCACCCACAACACCTCTCCTATTATAACGTACCTAACTGGCCAGTTGTGAGTCGTATATAATAAGAAGGTTTACTTAACTGTGGGCAAGGAGGCAGCATTCGTCTTTCTTTATTTCCTCCTCTGATTTAGATGTCCTGCCAAATTGATGGGATTCTTCTTCCAGCAGGATTATGATATCACTTGGGTTGTCCCGATTTAGGAGACGAGATTCCATAAAATTCCGTGGTCCTCAGAACAGGACCACGCGTTTAACATGCGCTCGCTCGGGAAATGGCGACTCATATCACTTCACACATTCCCTTAAACTGAAGCTATTATCATTACTTCTTCCTTAGTTCACAAGGCGACTTGATGTCCCATTAATTTACACTCGTTAGAAGTTGATCCATTAAAATCAGAGCCCGATGAGTGACGATTGAATGACAGGTATTTTCCCAAATGAACTCATCGTCACGTCACTCATGATTTTCCGTTGACACACCCTATTATGGTGGTTTCATATTCCACACTGGGAACAGTTACAACACTTCCTATTATGAAGTGAGACCACTAATCACATTTTGGCTGATGGAACCGCCAATTTCCTGGGTCCATGGTTGACTCGGACACCCACATTAGGCCTATACCCACATGACTGCCTATCCATGCCCCCGGCGTCCCCTCTCTGACCCAGCGCATGCGCAGAACCTCTCTGTTGGTTCGCTTCCACTTTCAAATGTATTTTAAACAGTAGTGCATTAATCATGTACATTCACATTATAAAAATTATACAATATAATTTTGGGACAATTACACAGTATTTTCCACTGGGTGTGACACAACCTGACCATGCTAGTGCTGGGTGTGACACACAGCCTGTCCATGCTAGTGCTGGGTGTGATATACAACTCGACTATGCTAGTGCTGAATGACACACAATCTGACCATTCTATTGCTGGGTCAGACACAACTTAACTATGATAATGATGGGTCTGAGACGCAACATATGCTGTTGATAGGTCTGACACACATCCCGACCACATAGATGCTGAGTCCAACCCACAACTAAACCATGCTGGTGCTACATACAACCATAACCTAACCATGCAGACACTAGGTCTAACAATCTGACTTTAATTAACCAAGATTCTATAATCCGACCCCTTCAGTGCACCCCAATCCCAACCCACCTCCTCCAACAAACCACAAGTGACTATCTCCACTACTACTCTTATACTGTATTACCCCACTTCTTCCACCTCACTAGCTCCCCTCTAACAGGCTCTCTAATGTCTGTACAGTAGATTGATAAAGCTTCTGGTGGGCAAAACATCTCAATTGATGCTCATGTGTTGCATAAGCTTCTGGTGGGCAAAACATATCAATTGATGCTCATGTGTTGCACATGCCACTCATTAACTTGTCAGTAGTCTGTACCATTAATCCAGTTACACTCAGAGTTACCCTAGCCAATTTATATGAGGGAAGTTTAGACTCTAAATGCATCTTGACCACTAACCCTAAGTTATTTGGATGCAGTGAGTAGATGAAGTGTTATTTTTTCCTAGAAAGCTTGAAGAAAAGGACATTCATCACACTATGAAGAAGAAAAAGAAAACCCTCTTACCCTTTCTTGATGTGTTGCTCCACAGAAGGATAGACCATTATTCAGGGTGTCCAGAAAATCCACATACTAAAACTAGACTCGTCTTACTTGTTGCATGATCTGAGAAAGGTATCCCTTTATCCCATAATCCCAACTACCTCTAGCCCAATGCTTGCAAAAGAAATAGTACAGAGTGCAGCATACATTTCTAAATCAGTTGGTTATCAGTGTTTAAGATTTGAAAACATGTGGTATGATATGTTTGGTGGGCCCTAAGTTTTATCCAGGAACCTGGCCACAAGAGTTAACCCTCACTGCCCACATTCTTACATATGACTGATGTCATAATAAAATATGGCTGTTGTCTGCTTATTCTTCACACAAGTTCCCACATATGGTGCAGTGAGAAGTCTATGGAAACTGCAAAAATATATAGCTAGGATGTGGCCAGGGTTTACAAGAGGAAACTCCATAAGGCAGTGGTTATGCTACACAGCAGCAGTTTGATCTCACACTCCAGAGTATGACTCAACAGTATTATTTGTTGTTTGCAGCAGAGTTTCGACATCCATCAAGCAGAATAACAAACATCACCTTGGGAGTGTCATCAAAATTCCACCTAGGAGAGGAACCTTAATCTTTATTGCCTAGTATGAAATCAGGTTTGATCCAATTTACTAGAAAGCAGCTCTTAATTGTTTTGATCACTAGCCCTTCACCTACATCAGGAACCACTCCTGAAGGCAGAGAAAGGACATATCTGCTTTTGAAAGCATACAGATTAATAATATGTATTGTATTGATGTGACGGTGTTAAATACGTCAAGTTGTATAACACTTGATATACAAGTGGTGATTAGATTTAATCCAGGAAAAGGGGTCGAAGAGCTCCAAGTTATGGACGAGAAATGTCCAGAAAATTATTTTTGTATATACACTGTATTGGGGAAACTCGAAACTCAAGAGTACCTGGGAATGGGAGGTAATTAAGTTTGAACCAATTCCTTGGATCAAAAGCCTCTCACCAGCATCAAGGGTCATTCCTGAAGAAGAACATACAATCATTATTCCTTTAAAACAAATTGTATAGCTTTATACATACAATTTTTTATATGTTCTAAACACTTCAGAGTGATTATGAATTATGGCAGTTGTAGCAGATAGAGAAGATTCTTTTGCAGTGAGTGTAACAATAATGGAAAATTCTGTAACCAAAGGACTTTATTCATCACTTCCAAATTGACTGACTCTGCTGATTTTGGACTGCATTTCCAAAGTCTATTATATGGGGTATTCTACTTTTCCAGGGGTATCTTGATTGGAAGATGTGTGCCCATTGTGGCCCAGTAATACATGTCAATTCCACCTGATCCTTAATGAAAGTAGGGAATGAGCTTCCTAAAGCTATAAAATTCCCCAGAACAGACATTCTATTTTTGCCAGTTTGCAAAACAAATAGTTCAGTAAAGATATGAATACATATTTTCAATGTGTTATGAATGTTTTTTTAGTTAAAACAAAAGAACATGATGAGCACAAGTAATGTATAAGATTGTGCAATTTTTTGGGGGGGGGACACAGGAAAACCTTGAGACCAATTATTAAGATTTATTCATTTGCTGGTAAGAAAAAAAGCATATAACTGTTTTTCTGTTTAATAATTTGAGTTACAATCATACATATCTATGAAAATACAAAAAAAATTAAGTATTAATTCTACTAACATTTGGGTATAATTATTTTAAAACAACACAGTGGTATTACCTAGTCACTTTTCTATGAAAACCTTATATAATGTAGGTTACTTAAGCTTACTCTTTTAGATGGGTTCTTCTTTAATTACATGAGGTTCTTCTTTAATCACAAATGGTTCTTCTTTAATTACAAATGGTTCTGCTTCGATTACAAGCAGTTCTTCTTCAGTTGCATATGGTTCTTCTTTGATTACAAGTGGGTCTTCTTCAATTATATATTTCACTTCCACGTCTTCTGTAAGTTTCACTTGAGGGCGTTTACTCTCATCATCGTTCCGGGAAGGTGCAACAGCTGCAAGTTAAAAATTCGACCAATAATATAAAGCAAGTAACTTTGTGCACAGTCATTTAGCATTTTTTTCCCCATTGTGGAACTCTTGACCCAAAAAACTGGATGTACACTTCTTTTCTATGGATCAAATCTGAGTGCTGCAGATCCAGTCCCATGCCTATTTTGGTCACTATGTGATCCAAGAAAGGTGTCCCCATATTCTATAAGGCCAGCCTCTATTTCAATGTATACTAAAGAAATAGTATAAAGCAGTCACAAAAGTCTAATACAGCAAAATATGCACACATGCATGTGTGAGTGCATGTATGCATGGCCCTAAGTATACAGTGGACCCCCGCATAGCGAACGCCTTGCATAGCGAACAATCCGCATAGCGAACGCTTTGTTCGCTAAAATTTTGCCCCGCATAGTGGACAAAAACCCGCTCAGCGAACTTCGTCCGACACGCGTCCAATCTGCGCCCTCAGCCAGCCTCACATGTGCCGCCCGTCCCATTGTTTACCAGCCAGCCTCCGCGGTAACATTCAAGCATACACTCGGAATATTTCGTATTATTACAGTGTTTTCGGTGCTGTTTGTGGAAAATAAGTGACCATGGGCCCCAAGAAAGCTTCTAGTGCCAACCCTACACCTCAAAGGGTAAGAAAAACCCATAGAAATGAAGAAAGAGATCATTGATAAGTATGAAAGTGGAGTACGTATCACCGACCTGGTCAGGTTGTACAAGAAACCAAAATTAACCATCGCTTCTATTGTGGGCAAGAAAACGGCAATCAAGGAAGCTGTTGTTGCCAAAGGTTTAACTGTGTTTTCGAAACAAAGATCGCAAGTGATGGAAGATGTTGAGAGACTCTTATTGGTGTGGATAAATGAAAAACAGCTAGCAGGAGATAGCGTCTCTCAAGCGATCATATGTGAAAAGGCTAGGAAGTTGCATGACGATTTAATTAAAAAAATGCCTGCAACTAGTGATGATGTGAGTGAATTTAAGGCCAGCAAAGGTTGGTTTGAGAGATTTAAGAAGCGTAGTGGCATCCATAGTGTGATACGGCATGGTGAGGCTGCCATTCGGACCACAAAGCGGCTGAAAAATATGTGCAGGAATTCAAGAGTACATAGAAACTGAAGGACTGGAACCTGAACAAGTGTTTAATTGTGATGAAACAGGCCTGTTCTGGAAGAAAATGCCAAGCAGGACCTACATTACTCAGGAGGAAAAGGCACTCCCAGGACATAAGCCTATGAAAGACAGGCTTACTTTGTTGATGTGTGCCAATGCTAGTGGTGATTGCAAAGTTAAGCCTTTATTAGTGTATCACTCTGAAACTCCAGAGCGTTCAGGCAAAAGAATGTCCTCAAGGATAATTTGTGTGTGCTGTGGAGGGCAAACAGTAAGGCATGGGTCACTAGGGAATTTTTCTATAACTGGTTACACCATGCATTTGCCCCCAATGTGAAAGATTACCTAACTGAAAAGAAATTAGACCTTAAGTGCCTCCTGGTGTTAGACAATGCCCCTGGTCATCCTACAGACGTGGCAGAGCGACTTTATGGGACATGAGCTTCATTAAGGTGAAGTTTTTGCCTCCTAATACCACTCCTCTCCTGCAGCCCATGGACCAGCAGGTCATTTCCAACTTCAAGAAACTGTACACAAAAGCTCTGTTTCAAAAGTGCTTTGAAGTGACCACAGACACTCGATTGACTCTAAAAGAGTTTTGGAAGGATCACTTTAATATCCTCAATTGTGTAAACCTTATAGGTAAGGCTTGGGAGGGAGTGACTAAGAGAACCTTGAACTCTGCTTGGAAGAAACTGTGGCCAGAATGTGTAGACAAAAGGGAATTTTTAAGGGTTTGAGGCTAACCCTGAGAGGAGTAGTATACCAGTTGAGAATCAATTGTGGAATTGGGGAAGTCCTTGGGGTTGGAGGTTAGTGGGGAGGATGTGGGAAAAGTTGGTGGAGGAGGACAATGAAGAACTAACCACTGATGAGCTGATAGATCAACTTCAAGAGCAAGAGGCCAGACCTGGGGGAAAATGGTTCAAAGGAGGGGAGAGAGAAATTGAAGGAATTGCCTACTTCAAAGATTAAGGAAATGTGTACAAAATGGCTTGAAGTGCAAACCTTTTTTGATGAAAATCACCCTCACACAGCTATTGCAAGCCGTGCTGGTGACTGTTACAATGACACTGTTGTGAACCACTTTAGACAAATCATAAAGGAACGAGAGGTACAGGCCACTATGGACAGATATGTTGTGCGAAAGAAGTCCAGTGACTCTGAAGCTGGTCCTAGTGGCATTAAAAGAAGAAGGGAAGTAACCCCAGAAAAGGACTTGCTACCTCAAGTCCTAATGGAAGGGGATTCCCCTTCTAAACACTAACACTCTCTCTCCCCTCCTCCCATCCCATCAATCATCACCAGATCTTCAATAAAAGTAAGTGTCATGTAATTGTGCATGCCTTTTTCAGTTTGTGTGTACTAAAATTAACATTTTTTTGTGGTAAAAAAAATTTTTTTTCATACTTTTGGGTGTCTTGCACGGATTAATTTTATTTCCATTATTTCTTATGGGGAAAATTAATTCGCATAGCGAACATTTCGCATAACGACCAGCCCTCTTGCACGGATTAAGTTCGCTATGCGGGGGTCCACTGTACTTTTGCATGTTTACATGTATCTAAGCATGTATGTATTATGCATTTATTTATGCATGTATGCACAGACCACATCACAAATATGCACAACCATAAGTACACCTTTAGCAGACTGCCTGACAGATCTGAGAAGTGTCATAGTAACTTATGCATATTGTTTTGCATATTCTGAAATCACCTGTTTACTGTGATCTTATTGCATAGCAAATGGCATATGGTGCCCCTTACCATACTGCCAAAGACAAAGAACTGGCTAAATTATTGTGATTTTTCTATACTTCAGTGACTGGCCTAGAAACTCACTGAACTTAAATCTGATGGAGAACATCTGTTAACTTATTAACGTAAGCTTCGTGGCATGGATGTGTCTTCTAACACCAAAAAATCAAGTGCCATTAAGCAGGCGTAGGAGGGTACTGACTTTTTTCCTCCATAAGTTAACCTTATCAGTGCTAAGAGACTTAAGAAGTGTGTCAACAGGAAGGGCAGTCCTGCCAGATACTAAGTTAGGTGAGGAACATGTACATATTTCACTATTATATTCATAAGACCACTGGATAATACATGATCTGTTAACACATTTTTGCTTCAAAATGGTTACAAAATTGCTGCATCTTTTTGATAAATGCGCCATAAAAATTGGTTTATACAGTGGAGTACATATAGAGGAAAATGTGACATGCACCATGGTCTTTCCCCTCCACCTCACAGTGAGCCTCAGGGCGAGTCCAATGCCTTATGGGGGGGGGCCTACGTAATGTACACAACCTCTCTCACCCAGTTCTTCATTCACACTTGATCAATATGTCACTTGATGTGTGTTAGTGAATCGACTTTTTATTTTTTCAACATCCCATCTAATCTCTGGGTAGTAAGAATGGCACCCAAGAGTAATCATGGAACTGCAAAGACAACGACATTGGGTAAATTTTCTAGACTTATTTTGAGGAAAAAAAGAAAAAAGTCTTCAACATCATAAAATACATATGTACAGCATCTTCCTTTTGTAAGCAATTATCTTTTTTTTTTTTAATGGTACAGTACCATGTTTAAACTTGGATCCCATTCCCAAGCTGTCCCATTTCATAGATGCAAATATACAAATAGTCAAAAATCCCAAGCATTTTAGATAAAGGATTCTCAGCTGTAGCAGTAACAGTAGTCCTAGTAGTGGTGGTAATAATAATAATAGCAGCAGCAGCAGCAGTTTGTAAATTCTCCTGCTTTGATTTCAACACCCCAACCCAACCAATCTATAATATGCAGGTCAATGAACCAATGTAATTTCAATGCAATTTATTTGCAATCGACCAATTCTTCATTTGCAACCTATCTCACTGTATGTTTTTTTTTATTAACTTATCAGCCATTTCCCCGCCAAGGCAGGGTGGCCCGAAAAAGAAAAAACTTTCATCATCATTCACTCCATCACTGTCTTGCCAGAGGCATGCTTACACTACAGTTGTAAAACTGCAATATTAACAACCCATCTCCAGGAATCAAGTCCGGCCTGCCGGTTTCCCCTCGCACACAAAACCTCTTTTACCCCCTCCCTCCAACCTTTCCTAGGCTGACCCCTACCCTGCCCTCCCTCTCCTACAGATGTATACATTCTCGAAGTCCTTCTATTTCACTCCTTCCTCTCTCCATGTCCAAACCATCTCAGCAATCCCTCCTCAGCTCTCTGGATAATAATTTTGGTAATCCCACACCTCCTCCTAATCTCCAAACTACAGATTCTCTGCATTATATTCCACCACACACTGCCCTCAGACATGACATCTTCACTGCCTCCAGCCTTCTCCTTGTTGCAACATTCACAACCCATGGCTCACACCCATACAAGAGCATCGGTATAACTATACTCTCATACATTCCCCTCTTTGCTTTCATAGATAAAGTTCTTTGTCTCCACAAACTCCTCAAAATATTCGGAGCGCCACGCGAGTGAACGTAGATCTACATTTGGACAGTTTAAGGGTTAAAAGTAATAGATATATATATATTTTTTTAACAAATCGGCCGTCTTCCACCGAGGCAGGGTGACCAAAAAAGAAAAAAATCCCCAAAAAGAAAATACTTTCATCATCATTCAACACTTTCACCTCACTCATACATAATCACCGTTTTTGCAGAGGTGCCCAGAACACAACAGTTTAGAAGCATATACATATAGATATACATACAACATCCCCTTCCAAATTGCCAATATCCCAAACCCCTCCTTTAAAGTGCAGGCATCGTACTTCCCATTTCCAGTACTCAAGTCCAGCTATATAAAAATAACCAGTTTCCCTGAATTCCTTCACTAAATATTACCCTGCTCACACTCCAACAGC